GTGATTGCAGGGGTCGAGTCACAGCTCCTGGCCCCGCCTGTGTGTGTGTGTGTGTGTGTGTGTGTGCGTGTGTGTGCGTGTGTGTGTGTGTGTGTGTGCGTGTGTGTGTGTGTGTGTGTGTGTTTGTATATGTGTGTGTGTGTGCGTGTGTGTGTGTGTGCGTGTGTGTGTGTGTGTGTGTGTGTTTGTATATGTGTGTGTATGGGGATGAGAAGGGATTGTCGCCTTTGGATTATGACAGTAACAGATATCAAGAACATAAACTAAAATATTTATATCGAATCAAGCACTAAAGGTCAAAAGAATCAATGACAGTAACATTATTCGATGATAATAACAACTTAAATATTGGAAAAACAAAGACGAACAGAGTAAGAACACAAGATAAATACTTCCTTAACACGTGTTACACAAATTATCATAGCGCTGTCAACAACATCAACGAGTTAAGATGACCTGCATGCCCAGAACACGTCAATGATATTGCAATAACTGAGGCACAGGTGAATTAGAAGAGTCGGGACGTACCTGTTTACTGCCACATTTAGAGGTTTGAATTATTCCACTTTTAGAGAAGCAGTAAGACTGGGGGTGAGGGGAACGATATATATTCTCCAGAACTTGAGTTGCTTCATGTGGAAAAACGTAAAGGCTGAGGGGAAATATGCATAGAATCTCAAACAATAGTGGTCAATAGAGTTAGATCGGAAGCTGCCATAGCGAGAAGCTCTTTTCCACAATGCACAGTACTCGCCCCTATCCTGTTCCTCATCTTCATATCAGACATAGACAGAGATGTAACCCACATCATCTAGCCATCCTGGTGGAATTTCTTGGACAAGAAAATATATGATTGTAGATGGGTTATACAAATCCCGAACTCAGAGAACATCCAAGCTACACCACTGTGGAAAAAAAAAACGTTAATTTAAGGCTCTGAGACACAAAAAAGTAGGAATTCAGCGTAATTTCAATTTCAGCTAAACTGATTAGAACTATTTTACTAGAAATCTGAAGTTCAGTGATTTCCTATTGGCTGTCCAGGATTACTTTCTAAAGAAGTTTGTGACGGAACCAACCAAATGCTCTTCAATAAAGAGACTCCTTCATTATCTGGAGGTCATCTATGACCTTGGCAAAAGTGATCTTGAATGTTTGGATATTTCATAGAATTATAATAAGGATAATGCAATAAAGATCCCGGATTTTTGACCAGCAGATTAGAGGGAGTCAGAGAACACTGCTGGTGCAGACTGTGGTAACTTTACCAATGATGTTACATTTAGATATTACATATAGAAAAAATACATGTGAGTGTTATATATACTTTGCAAACGAAATGTCTGTATATATTTCTAAATATTGTACCAGCTTCCCGACTACCATATATTCCCCAAAGAGATATCAAATCAAGCAAAATATACACAATACACAAGCAAAATATACACAATACACAAGCAAAATATACACAATACACAAGCAAAATATACACAATACACAAGCAAAATATACACAATACACAAGCAAATATCCCAAATTGTTTGATATGAAGCTAAGACAAATATATGACTGAGAAGGACTTGAGTTCAGAGGGCTGGCCTAACATAGGCCAGTAGGCCTACAACATTGCTCCTCCATTTTTACAAACTCATTATTGTGGTCGGTTTCAACGTATAATAATTTGCTATAATATTAATTGGCTCTGAATTTTGCACCATCTTATGGGATCCCTAATTAAAACCCCTGATCATCAATTAGTCAAAAACATATCCACACATACATTTACAACCCTTCCATATGTCGCTTGCCGGAGTCCCGATAACATTACCACAAAATCAAAAATCCTTCCTGCTTTCAAAGAATTACGAACACCGCATTTTCCGGCATATAAGGCGCACGAGTATTATCTGCTTGCTGGCACGATGCTTCCCACGGAGTTGCAACTTAACATTAGTAAACAACTGCTAAAGCGTAACCTTGACCTTGACCTTGAGCATATAAGGCGCAGGGAGATATTCCTAGACATTTTTCTTAAAAAAAAAAATACGCCTTGGATGCCGGAAATTACGGTACTCATTCCATTTGTCAATCCTATTAATCTCTCATTTCCCAGGTGCTGCATGACCTTTAATGACTTAACGCCACGAATAAACCAGCATCATACTAAGATATGTTCGTGTTGACAGATGAGCGTGGGAGGCAAGTATGCTGTGAATGACGCTGAACAGAGACTCAGCAGGAACACTGGCTGGTGCGGAGTCCGCTTCCTCGTCCTTATCTCCGTCATCTCTAGCACTATTGTCTACTTAATTGGTTCCGTGATCACCGGGGTTACCTATCGCACCTATGGTTTATACGGTGAGTTGTGAGATCAGATGAAGATGGTATTTATCAAGAGACGTAGAGAATATTTCTCTGAAGCAGGTCTAGACCCGCTTGAGGATTATTATTATTATTATTATTATTATTATTATTATTATTATTATTATTATTATTATTAATTATTATTATTATTATTATTATTATTATTATTATTATTATTATTATTATTATTATTATTATTATTATTATTATTATTATTATTATTATTATTATTATTATTATTATTATTATTATTATTATTATTATTATTTCTTTTAGGGCATTAAGTGCGGCCTTCTAAATGAATTATTTTTCTTGAAGTTTTTATATTATAATTAACTTTCTACAAAATACCTGACGTTTTGCAGTATATTTAATTAAAATTTCTTGAATGCGGCCGTACTAGATTACTGCTAATTTTAATGTGGCCTTCCATAATAAAAAGAGGTTCTCCACCTGTGGACTGGCACCCTCACTGTAGCCGATAATCTTCAACAACAAATTACCTAATCAAATAAACAAGCCTTTCCTTTTTTTTGGGGCTAACAAGTTCTCTCTGTCTTGCAGCCAACTGCACGTTCGATTCCCGGTACGCGCCGAGTGTGCGTTACGTCTACGACACACCACTGGTGGTGGTGGGTCCTTGCTTCATGTCTGCTGGGGGAGCCATCCTAGTTTTCCTCCTCTTCCAGTGGTGCTTCTGTCGTCCGCTGCTCCACTAGACTGCCTCGTACACCCACATTCAACACTGGGTCGAACACGCACCAGCAGAAATACTACACTTCAATATGGTGTCCCATTCTCTCTCCGCCGGACAAAAAACCCCACCACCAATGCATCGGAAACCCGACCCCTTTGTAGCTGTCTTGCTAAAAATATGCCATATATTCTTCCTTACCTGCTATGTTTTCCTGCCATTAAAGAAATGATTAATACGTACTGCATACTCTCACCTCTCTCTCATGTCGAATATTAGTCACTTCAGGAGAGTCTCTGACAGAATCACACCAGGAAATTCTTTCTGAGATAATCTTTTTAACTTCTTCGTCTTCAGGAACAATAACAGACTTCAAATAACTTGCTGCTTTTCTTCAGTACCAGTTTTATAATTGATCTTGTTCTTAGATGTAGTTTGCAGGAATGTTTTAGTCTAGACGGTAGCTACGATGATCATCAGATGCAGGGAGAAGAATAAAATTAATAACAACGTAGTTAGAACAACTCACAACTTGTCTAATGCTTGAAGAGGAAACGTTAGACGTTTCAGTGGGTACTGATCCAAGACGGATCGAAACGTCATTCAAAGTTTGCTTTTTAAATTGTGGGCTTTGTTGTGAAATATAAAAAGTAGTTCTTTTTCTGATTTTGTACCTTCATCAAAATCTTTTATACATTAATCTTACTGGGTTAAGGTCATTGATTTAATGAAAACTGAATTACTCTCTAATTGTTTCCTTCAGCCCTACAGTGCCTCCTAATTATTCTATGAATGTTGGTATTATACTGAGCAACAGTTTATGGAAACGGAGGTATACACTCGTAGGCACGTGAAAGACAAGTGTTAACGAAGAGATTATTTTCGCTCTGTCAGCGGGGCAGCTTCAAAAGAAGGGGCCAAGAGGTAGAGGCGGACTTGTACAGTTCTCTCTTTCATTCCATAGAAATTTTCACAGGTAGGTGACTCACGAAATCGTAATAACATAATTGTAAACAACTTACATAATGGATGGTATTGGAACCCAGGGCGCAAAGGCTTGCTTGTTTAGGACTGGCTCGAAACAGGTTCGAAATCTTCCTCTTCTGTGAGAAGCACAGGGTAAAAAGGGACAGTCCTTGGCAATTTCGAAAGCTTGAGAATAGAAATTATCACTGAAAGACAATGAGTTAGTATCAACTCAAAGACAAAATGCTGATAATGACAGCAGCTGCAACAATGGACTTGAAGTAGCCTCACGCTCTCCGAAAAAAGTGAGAATATCAACATTAACATCAGAACTCCAACCAAACAGTCAGCCCATCCACTGGAAGTTCCACATATGCTTCTATAGAAATATTTTCGTTTTCATTTCCAACTAAGGCACAAAAGTCCTTATGGTTGGTTCTGACACAATGTTGTGTAGATAACAACTGTTGATCATGGTACTTCGCTTTAGCAAAATAACTGAGAAACAAATTATAAGTTGTTCGGAACGAGAAGATCTATCCTGGACGAGGAGGCGTGAGAACACAGACCAGAATCTGTCAAAATTAGAAATGCATAAAACTATAACTGAGTCGAACATCTAAAGACTTAAACCATATCTCTAAAATTATTTACAATTCTTTTTTGAACTATTTTGCCTCCAGTTTTATAGGATAAAGAATTAAAATAAATTTTTAGCTGTGGGAATAGTGAATAAAATTTTGTGGTGCCCACTTTAGACTGCAAAGCATTAAACACTTGTTACACAGCCATGAAAAAATATAAGAAGTTACCATATCATGTCAAAACGAAGTGATTTTTTGTGTTGTTAACGTATTCATTGACATGAGCTATTTATTTCTGCATATATTTTCTAGTATTTACTAAGACACGTTATGTATATATACGTACCAGTGTTGACTAACAAAGACAGCAAGGAAAACAAAGTCACATTGACTTGACTGGGTTACCACAGGTTAATTCTCAATAATGTACTATACACGTGTGTCCATAATATTTATGTGTTCTCAAGACCATCGTGTGTATTTCTTCTTATGTATGAAGTAACTATCCTTTTTTTTTTTATTCGCCGGTACTCTCCCGGCCCGGGTCTTTTCCAATAGTGGTGACCCGGCCTTGGCTCCCTATCTGGGGAGTATCTCGAGACTTATGTCTGCCATGGGAGGAGGTACAAGTATCCCTACATCTTTGGGATCAACTGTCCCCAGGCCTAGCCACAGTCCCCGCCCTCACGGGGCTCGCAGTGAGAAGCTAGGCCTCTGGTCTGCCATCTGCCCCGCCCCAAAGGGGTTCTTGGGGATGGCAGTCTTATAAACATTTGTTGGACAATGTGTGAATGAATCTAAATACAATTTTTTTTTTAAATTTATGCTACTGACTGTAAAATTATTTGTAGATTTCTTGAATAAAGCATATACCATGGCTTATCTTTATGAATATAAATCATTAAATTTTGTTGTATTATCCTAGCATCAATAATAATATGTAATCACTGTATGTCTATGATAATCATGTACTTAATACAGATATATTTATTGTAAAATGCAATTTGTTGGCTTGTTAGTTAATGGGGTTTAAAGTATATCTACTACACTAGGGTAATTATGGCTACATGTCATCTTTCACGAGTCAAGATAGCTTTAATCCTTAAAACAGGGATTAAAGTAAACTCTCGGTGCTAGAGAAAGCGCAAAGGTTTGCAACAAGGTTAATTCCGGAGCTCAGGGAAATGTCCTACGATGAAAGGTTGAGGGAAATCGGCCTGACGACGCTGGAGGACATGAGGGTCAGGGGATACATGATAACGACATACAAAATACTGCGTGGAATAGATAAGGTGGACAGAGACAGGATGTTCCAAAGAGGGGACACAGAATCAAGGGGTCACAACTGGAAGCTGAAGACTCAGACGAGTCAAAGGGATGTTAGGAAGTATTTCTTCAGTCATAGAGTTATCAGGAAGTGGAATAGTCTAACAAGTGATGTAGTGGAGGCAGGACCCGTACATAACTTTAAGACGAGGTATGACAAAGCTCAGGGAGCAGAGAGAGGACCTAGCAGCGATCAGTGAAGAGGCGGGGCCAGGAGCTGAGTCTCGACCCCTGCAACCACAATTAGGTGAGTACTCGATTGAGAGACACACAGCTCGGTTGGTAGCACACTCAGCTCACACCATGAGGTCCGTGGTGCGATCCCCGGTACGGGTGGCAACATTAGGACGTGTTTCCTTAAGACACCTGCTGTCCATGTTCACCTATCAGTAAAATAGGTACCTGGGTGTTAGTGGACTGTTGTTGGTCGCATCCTGGGACAAAATTGACCTAATTTGCTTGAAATGCTCAGCATTACAGGGGGATTTCTATATACGTAGTAGTATGTCATTGCTTCTTCTTCTTGATTCGCCGGTATTCTCCCGGCCCGGGCCGGAAATAATGGGGGCAAATTCCTAGGCTTATACCTTGACAACAACCTGAATTTCAGCACCCATATCCAGCATATAACCAAAAAAGTATCCAAAACGGTTGGGATCCTCTCCAAGATACGATACTACGTGCCGCAAAATGCCCTTCTCACACTATACCACTCACTTATTTATCCATACCTCACCTATGCTATTTGTGCTTGGGGATCAACTGCAGCAACACACCTAAAGCCAATAATAACCCAACAAAAAGCTGCAGTAAGAATAATCACTAAATCCCATCCCTGGCAACACACCCCCCCACTCTTCATAGACCTAAACTTACTCCCTATTCAGTACATCCACACTTACTACTGTGCAATCTACATCTACAGGGCCTTAAACTCTAATATCAACCTTGACCTAAAACGCTTTCTTGATAGTTGTGACAGAACCCACAGGCATAACACCAGACACAAACATCTCTACGACATTCCCCGTGTCCGACTAAACCTTTACAGAAATTCAATGTATGTCAAAGGCCCTAAAATCTGGAATACCCTACCTGAGAACTCTAGAACTGCAGACACATTCATCACCTTCAAAACTAGCATTAGAAAACATCTTATCTCCCTGATACACCCCGTCAACTAACTACACGAATACCACCTGGTGGTTCACACTTACACTCACTCACTCATTTGACCATAAACAGAAATATTAATCTCAATCTTAAAATAATGAATCCTGTGATACTCCAATACTGAAACTATGTACTGTGCCAAAACAAAAGCATTCACATTGCTAAACTCACAAACTAGTATTTAGTCACTTAGCCATAATACCAACTTACCTCATAATTTGTAATATTTTACAATTAAGAATAAAACTAAGTATGCCCGAAATGCCTAGCCATGCTAAGCGTTCTAGTGGTACACTCTGTAATCACTATTTTACAACATGTAAACCACTCAATAACCAAATTTCTGTAAAATCAACATTGTAATCCTTATAGAGAATAAACTTTGAATTTGAATTGACTTTGAATTATCCAAGTGGTGGCCCGGCCTTGGCTCCCCGTCTAGGGAGTGTCTGAGACCTAAGTCTCCCATGGGAGGAGGCACAAGTACCTCCTCATCTTTGGGACCAACTGTCCCCAGGCCTAGCCACAAGCTAGGCCTCTCTGGGCTGCCATCCCCGCCCAAAGGGGGCTAATGGGAATGGTAGTCTTGTGAGCTGCGAGCTCTTAGGTATGGTGTAGATCCTATGTCATTGATGTCAGCTATGGTCTGTATACCATGTACGTACTTGTAGTAAATAAAGATATTATTATTATTATTATTATTATTATTATTATTATTATTATTATTATTATTATTATTATTATTATTATTATTATTATTATTATTATTATTATTATTATTATATATTAAATATACTTACTTATTTACTAACTTCTGTAACGTTTAAGGTTACCCATAAAAATTACGTAAATCTTAGTTTTCTTCACTTCTTCACAGTTAAGAGAAAATGTAAAATATGCATAAGGGTAACTAAACGAAATGCTCAGGAGGACCCCCCCCCTGCATGCAGGTGCAGGAATAATAATAATAATAATAATAATAATAATAATAATAATAATAATAATAATAATAATAATAATAATAATAATAATAATAACATCTTTATTTACTACAAGTACGTACATGGTATACAGACCATAGCTGACATCAATGACATAGGATCTACACCATACCTAAGAGCTCGCAGCTCACAAGACTACCATTCCCATTAGCCCCCTTTGGGCGGGGATGGCAGCCCAGAGAGGCCTAGCTTGTGGCTAGGCCTGGGGACAGTTGGTCCCGAAGATGAGGAGGTACTTGTGCCTCCTCCCATGGGAGACTTAGGTCTCAGACACTCCCTAAAGAGGGAGCCAAGGCCGGGCCACCACTTGGAAAAGGCCCGGGCCGGGAGAATACCGGCTAATATTTAATAATAATAATAAATAATTTCCAGTCCAGACCTAAGTGTGTCAGCTGAGTGCGCTAGCGATCGAGCTACGCCACACCGTATACATTAATACGGTTACATATTCTGTGATACATATCAGTATATGTGTGGATTATCCACCAGGATAACCCCCCAATAAGTCAGACAGACTTATTTTCATTGGGGTCCTTATTTAAACCCTAAAACTTAAAAGAGCTAAGTAACTCAACTGTGTTATATAGTATCTTTATTTCTACAAGTACAAGGCATACAAACCATAGCTGACATCAATGACATACTACTATATGGAGAGTCCCTTGTTATGCAGATAATTTCGGGCAAATTAGGTCAATTTTATCCCAGGATGCGACCCACACCAGTCGACTGACACCCAGGTAGTTATTTTACTGATGGGTACCTGGGTGTTAGTCGACATATATAATACTGTAATATAATCTCATTAATACTCGTTATCAAGGCATTCATGGGAAGAGCTTCAACCGTAGGGGATCATACATCACCTGCAGGAATGGGAGGTATTAAGATTCGATCCAAGGAAAGAGAGCACAGGACCAGTGAACGTGCTCATACCAGTGAACGTGCTCATACCAGTGAACGTGCTCATACACAGTCACACATACTTATAGCCATGCACACTCACATATATACACTCATACATAGTCATGCACACTCATACATAATCATACACATACATATATGCACTTATACGTAATCATGCACACACTCATACATATACACATTCATACATTCAAATTCAAATTCAAATTCAAAGTTTATTCTCTATAAGGATTACAATGCTGAGTTTACAGAATTTGGTTATTGTGTGGTTTACATGTCGTAAAATAATAATTACAGAGTGTACCACTAGAACACCTAGCATGGCTAGGCATTTCGGGCAGACTTAGATTAAATCTTAAGTTTAAAATATTACAAAATTATGAGGTAAGTTGGTATTATGGCTAAGTGACTATAAGGATTACAATGTTTGTGGGTTTAGCAATGTGAATGCTTTTGTTTTGGCACTATACATAGTTTCAGTATTGGAGTATCACAGGCCAACTTATGACTAGTTAAGATTCATTATTTTAAGATTGAGATTGATATTTCTGTTTATGGTCAAATGGGTGAGTGAGTGTAAGTGTGAACCACCAGGTGGTATTTGTGTAGTTAGTTGACAGGGTGTATCAGGGAGATAAGATGTTTTGTAATGGTAGTTTTAAAGGTGATGAATGTGTCTGCAGTTCTAGAATTTTCAGGTAGGGTATTCCAGATTTTAGGGCCTTTGACATACATTGAATTTTTGTAAAGGTTTAGTCGGACACGGGGAATGTCATAGAGATGTTTGTGTCTGGTGTTGTGCCTGTGGGTTCTGTCACAACTATCAAGAAAGCGTTTTAGGTCAAGGTTGATATTGGAGTTTAAGGTCCTGTAGATGTAGATTGCACAGTAGTAAGTGTGGATGTACTGAACAGGGAGTAAGTTTAGATCTATGAGAGTGGGGAGGGGGGGGGGTGTTGCCAGGGATGGGATTTAGTGATTATTCTTACTGCAGCTTTTTGTTGGGTTATTATTGGCTTTAGGTGTGTTGCTGCAGTTGAACCCCAAGCACAGATAGCATAGGTGAGGTATGGATATATAAGTGAATGGTATAGTGTGAGAAGGGCAGATTGCGGTACGTAGTATCGTATCTTGGAGAGGATCCCCACCGTTTTGGATACTTTTTTGGTTATGTGTTGGATATGGGTGCTGAAATTCAGGTTGTTGTCGAGGTATAGGCCTAGGAATTTGCCCTCATTATGTCTGGCAATTAGAGTGTTGTCGATCTTAATGTTAATTTGCGCATCTCCTGTTCTGCTACCAAACATAATATAGTAGGTTTTGTCAGTGTTAAGCGTAAGTTTATTGGCTGTCATCCAAGTCGATATTTTGATCAGCTCCTCATTAACAATGGTGTTGAGGGTGGCAAGATTAGGGTGAGAGATGACATAAGTCGTGTCGTCAGCAAAGAGAATGGGTATGTATATGCACGCATATACATACACATACATACACATACATAGTCATACATACTCACACGTACTCAAATGATGACAGTTTATACTCAGCTTGTGGAACAGAGTAGCCGCACTCAGCTTGTGGAACAGAGTAGTGGTACTCAGCTTGTGAAACAGAGTAGCGGTACTCAGCTTGTGGAACAGAGTAGTGGTGCTCAGCTTATGGAACAGAGTAGTGGTACTCAGCTTGTGGAACAGAGTAGTGGTACTCAGCTTGTGCAACAGAGTAGCGGCACTCAGCTACAAAACTAGTGTCTGGTGTTGCTTTAGTCTGCTGATCGGAAAGCGATTTTTAATTATCACTGTGGAAATGACTGTATAATGAGAGCATTGTTTAAACGGACCATCACAGGTGATAACTCACATCCCCCCTGTGATCACTCCCCCCTGTGATCACTACCCCCTGTGATCACTACCCCCTGTGATCACTACCCCCTGTGATCACTACCCCCTGTGATCACTACCCCCTGTGATCACTACCCCCTGTGATCACTACCCCCTGTGATCACTACCCCCTGTGATCAACTACCCCCTGTGATCACTACCCCTGTGATCACTACCCCTGTGATCACTACCCCCTGTGATCACTACCCCCTGTGATCACTCCCCCTGTGATACATCCCCCCTGTGATCACTCCCCCTGTGATCACTACCCCCCTGTGATCACTACCCCCTGTGATCACTACCCCCTGTGATCATACTCCCCAGTGATCACTCCCCCTGTGATCACTCCCCCTGTGATCACTCACCCCCGTGTGAATCACTACACCCCTGTGATTACTCCCCCCTGTGATTACTCCCCCTGTGATCACTACCCCCTGTGATCACTCACCCCCTGTGATCACTCCAACCCCCTGTGATTACTCCCCCTGTGATCCTCCCCTGTGATCACTCCCCCCTGTGATTCACTCCCCCCTGTGATCACTCCCCCTGGATTATCCCCCCGTGATCACTCCCCCTGTGATCACTCCCCCCTGTGATACTCACCCCTGTGATCACTCACCCCTGTGATCACTCACCCCTGTGATCACTCCCCCCCGTGATTACTCCCCCGTGATACTCCCCCTGTGATCACTCCCACGTGATACCCCCTGTGATTACACTCTGTGTTACCCCCCTGTGATCACTCCCCCTGTGATCACTCACCCCCTGTGATCTACTCCCTGTAACTCCCCGTGATCACTCACCCCCGTGATCACTCACCCCCGTGATCACTCACCCCGTGATCACTCACCCCTCGTGATCACTCAACCCCGTGATCACTCACCCCCGTGATCACTCACCCCGTGATCACTCACCCTCGTGATCACTCACCCCCGTGATCACTCACCCCGTGATCACTCACCCCCCGTGATCACTCACACCCCGTGATCACACCTCATACTCACCCTCGTGATCACTCACCCCCGTGATCACTCACGTGTACCCCTCGTGATCACTCACCCCGTGATCACTCACCCCCGTGATCACTCACCCCGTGATCACTCCAACCCCCGTGATCACTACCCCGTGATCACTCACCCCCGTGATCACTCACCCCGTGATCAACCCCGTGATCACTCACCCCCGTGATCACTCACCCCCGTGATCACTCACCCCCGTGATCACTCACCCCCGTGATCACTCACCCCGTGATCACTCACCCCCGTGATCACTCACCCCGTGATCACTCACCCCCGTGATCACTCACCCCCGTGATCACTCACCCCCGTGATCACTCACCCCCGTGATCACTCACCCCCGTGATCACTCCACTCCCCCTGATCACTCACCCCGTGATCACTCACCCCTGTGATCACTCACCCCCGTGATCACTCACCCCGTGATCACTCACCCCGTGATCACTCACCCCCGTGATCAACCCCCGTGATCACTCACCCTGATCACTCACCCCCGTGATCCACCCGTGATCACTCCCCCGTGATCACTCCCCCCGTGATCACTCACCCCCGTGATCACTACACCCCGTGAT